TGCCCATCCTTACTATGCGGGTCGACTGTATTTTCGGCCTCTGGAGGCCCTCGCCGGGCCTCGGGACCGTCAGAAACCGATTCCGGGCGAGAAACTGGTCCCGGGAAAGGGGGCCTTTGCGAAAAAAACACGACGTCGGGGGTCTCGGTCGGAGGCTCCTCCCCAGAGGCCCGACGTTCTGACAAAATTGGAGCGGCTGGTTTTTGTCGGTTTTCGGCCTCCAGGGGCCTTAGGCAAGCCTCGGGACCGTCAAAAACGACTCAGGACGAAATGCCGGCCCTGGAGTAGGGGAACGAACAACGACATAAACAGAACAACGCGGAGCTCCGCGCGGATTTCTTGGATCCGCGCTGCACTCCCTCCCCGGCGCGCGGAGCGCGCCATGGGCGGTGCCGGAGGCGCCGCCAAGGGGTCCCAGTGCCGATCCGAGAAATCCGCGCGGACCTCCGAGTTGTTATGCTTATGTCATCATTCGTTCCCCTAGATGTGGTCCTATAGCGCAAGCGCCGAAAAAATTAGCCTGGCGAAGGACCCAACCATATGCAGTTGTGAATACCGCAATTGTAAATGCCATCTTCGCCCGCGCTCCCTATGTGGCCACGGCTTCCCGCCGGAGCCCGACATGCTCAGGGACACGTTCTTGGCCGTCTGCGCGGGCGCCGACGACGACAAGGACGGCGTCCCTCTCACCGAGGAGCAGAAGCAGGAGAGGGCCTTGAGAGCCATGAGGGAGCAGGTGGCGTTGCACGTCGACAAGGCGCAGTACGACGCCCAGGCGCGGTTGCTGAACCAGCCCAACTATGGGGCCACGATCCTCGTGAGGGGTGTGCCGAAATGGCCCGACGCCGCCATGCGAACGCTGCCACTGGGGCCTTCGGTGGAGCTCCCTTATGGGGCCACGATCCTTGTGAGAGGTGTGCCGAAATGGCCCGAGGCCGCCATGCGAACGCTGCCACTGGGGCCTTCGGTGGAGCTCCCTATGGGGCCACGATCCTCGTGAGGGGTGTGCCGAAATGGGGCGGGGCCGCCATGCGAACGCTGCCACTGGAGCCTTCGGTGGAGCTCATTATGGGGCCACGATCCTCGTGAGGGGTGTGCCGACATGGTCCGAAGCCGCCATGCGAACGCTGCCACTGGCGCCTTCGGTGGAGTTCCCTATGGGGCCACGATCCTCGTGAGGGGTGTGCCGAAATAGGGCGGGGCCGCCATGCGAATGCTGCCACTGGCGCCTTCGGTGGAGCTCCCTATGGGGCCGCGAACCGTGTGAGGGGTGTGCCGAAATGGGGCGGGGCCGCCATGCGAACGCTGCCACTGGGGCCTTCGCTGGAGCTCCTATGTGGCCACGATCCTCGTGGGAGGTGTGCCGAAATGGCCCGAGGCCGCCATGCGAACCCTGCCACTGGGGCCTTCGGTTGAGCTCCCTATGGGGCCACGAGCCGTGTGAGGGGTGCGCCAAAATGGTTCGGGGCCGCCATGCGAACGCTGCCACTGGGGCCTTCGGTGGAGCTCCCTATGGGGCCACGATCCTCGTGAGGGGTGTGCCGAAATGGCCCGAGGCCGCCATGCGAACGCTGCCACTGGGGCCTTCGGTGGAGCTCCCTATGGGGGATCCTCGTGAGGGGTGCCGAAATGGCCCCGCCGCATGCGAACGCTGCCACTGGGGCCTTCGGTGGAGCTCCCTATGGGGCCACGATCCTCGTGAGGGGTGTGCCGAAATGGCCCGAGGCCGCCATGCGAACGCTGCCACTGGGGCCTTGTGGAGCTCCCTATGGGGCCACGATCCTCTGTCCGAAATGGCCCGAGGCCGCCATGCGAACGCTGCCATGGGGCCTTCGGTGGAGCTCCCTATGGGGACGATCCTCTCGAGGGGTGTGCCGCAATGGGGCGGGGCCGCCATGCGAACGCTGCCACTGGGGCCTCCAGTGGAGCTCCCTTTGGGACCACCATCCTCGTGAGGGGTGTGCCGAAATGGGCGGGGCCGCCATGCGAACGCTGCCACTGGGGCCTTCGGTGGAGCTCCCTATGGGGCCACGATCCTCGTGAGGGGTGTGCCGAAATGGGGCGGGGCCGCCATGCGAACGCTGCCACTGGGGCCTTCGCTGGAGCTCCCTATGGGGCCACGATCCTCGTGAGGGGTGTGCCGCAATGTGGCGGGGCCGCCATGCGAACGCTGCCACTGGGGCCTTCGGTGGAGCTCCCTATGGGGCCACGAAACGCTGTATTGAGTGGGTGAAACGCAAGGGGGAGGAGGGGGAGGAGGGGAGGAGAGGAGGAGGAGAGGAGACGCGGGCCACCGTCTCTTCAAAACGAGGACCCAACACCACAGGATTGTTGGGAAATAGGAGCGGCCGGATGCCTGGGCCTGCAACCTCTGGACGAGGGTGCCCAAGAAGGGGGCGTCCAAGAGGGGGGAGCGCCAATCATGACCGGCGGCACGTGCGCGGCCCAGTGGGGGGCCAGGGGGTGAGACACGGCCCAAGAAAACGCTGGGCACGAACCCAGGAAACGGCGGGCACGAACCCAGGAAGCGAGGGAGGCACGAGACCAGGAATCGGGAACGACGACCCAGAAAATCCAGCAAGGCGCGATTCGGGGAAACCGTTAACAGGACCATCCTACCACTCCTCCTTCCCCCCTCCTCCTCCTGTCCTCCTCCTGTCCTCCTCCTCCCTCCCCCACCTCCTCTTCCTCGCCTTCCTCCTCCTCGCCCGCCCGCCCCCCCCTCTTTCGCGCGTTCCCACCGGAAGAGGCGGAGCGATGTGGGTCCTAGAGCCACGCCCGGCCGGCTGGGTCCTCGCAGCCCTTCCCAGGACCAGAACCAGCCCTTCGTGCCGATTTGTTTGAAAACGCCCAGGGCCAGGAGGCGGCCTCGAGCTGCAGTCGCGATGCGAGTGGTAATCCACCAATAGCTGTGCCAACTCCTCCTCTCGCTCCCTCCCCATTCATTGTCCTCACCCCCTCCTCCGATGATCGCGCAACGCCCCAGACCGGTTCCAATTTCACGGGCCGGAATGGATTCTGGAACCGCGCCCGCCCCGTGACACCATCTTTCCGGGCGCGGGCCGGCCCGTCGTCCTGATATGTTTGGTTGCGGGCCCAAGCCCCCGAGACACCTGGAACGCCGTGGCGGTTTCTTCCAAGAATTGCCGGGATTTTCCCTCCTCCTCCTGCTCTTCCCCTTCTTCTTCAAAGACCACGACGCCCCCGTAGCACCATCAGCACGGCATCTTCGCGCCAAGCACGGCGCCAATCACGCAACGCGGGTTCTGTGCGGCACGGCGCGGCACCGTCACGCAGCACCACCGGCGACCGCAAGGCCGTGTCGCTTCTGACGTCGTCGCACCATGTTGTTGTTATTGGAGCCTCCATAAGGGGACTCTGGAGGAGGATCCCAGAGGGAGGCGGCTTGTAGGCCGAGGCCCCAAGGTTGGGCTCCACACCACCACCAGGAGAAGGCTCCGAGGAAGGTCCCATATAGGGCGCCATCCTAGACGCAAGCTGTTCCTTTTCAAAATGAGGCACTCGCCTGAAGGGTGCCTGCTTAGGGGCCTCTGGAGGAGGACCCCAGAAGGAGGCGGCTTGTAAGCCGAGCCCCGAGGTTGAGCTCCACTCCGGCACCAGGAGAAGGCCCACAGGGGACGGGGCCCATTGGGTGGGCGCTATTCTGGACGCAAGTGGTTCCTTTTCACAATGAGGCTCTCGTCTCAGGGGTGCCTGCTTCGGACCTCTGGAGGAGGCTCCCAGAAGGGGCGGCTTGTAGGCTGAGGCCCCGGGGTTGAGTTCCACACCAGAACCAGGAGAAGGCCCCAAGGGGGGTCCCATTGGGATGCGCTATCCTAGACGCGAGCGGTTCCTTTTCAAAATGAGGCTCTCGCCTGGGAAGTGCCTGCTTGGGGGCCTCTGGAGGAGGATCCCAGAGGGAGGCGGCTTGTAGGCCGAGGCCCCGACGTTGGGCTCCACACCAGCACCAGGAGATGGCCCACCGGGGGGTCCCATTGAGAATCCTCTCCCCCCCTAGTCCCCCCCCTGTTCTGTTCTGTTCGTCCTCCTCCTCCTTCCCCTTGTCCCCCCCCCCTCTCCGGCAATGACGCGGACGCCCCCCGCGGTTCCAATTTCGCAGGGCGGGGCGGGCCGGGCGTGGCTCGGGTTTCCCGGGTTCGTGCGTGCAGCGTTTCTCGGGTTCGGGTCTTTTGGGATTCAGGGTTCGTGCCAAACTTTCCCGGGTTTTGCTCGTTTCCCTGGGTCGAGGTTTATCCGGGGCCAGGGACGTAATGAAATAAGAAGAGGCGCCATGAATTCCGGGGAAACATCATGGCACACGCCGTGATATCCACCACCCCTAGTCATCACCCCCGTCCTTGCCGCCCCCGAAACTTCTGGACGAGGGGCAACGACTCTCCCGCGGCTCTCTGGGACAAACACCGGGCACCTCCAGCCACCTCGCGGCGGCGAGGCGCAGCTGCCAGACCGCACGCCGAGACCCGAGAGCCGCCGGGAAGCGTCCGAGGACCGACGAGAACGTAGCGCCAGTTGGTGGTGCGCACAATGGGTAAGGGGGGGGGGGGAAGGCTTCTTAGAGGGAGGCTGCTTCTCAGAAGGCGCCGGCCCTGTAGCTATAACTAGAAAAGGCCCGCGCCTTCCAAGAAGCAGCCCTCCCCCCCCTCTGCCCCCTCCGCGCGGGGCCGAGCTAGGAGGGGGGGGCAGCTCAGGGGGGGAAACATCGAGATTGAATCGGCGACGCGTCGCCGATGGATCGGCGATGTGCCCCCGAGGGCGCGTCCGCGCGATCCTGGGCGGGGCCGCCGCCGCCGCTCGGAACTGTTTTTTGGAGGTCTCTCTGGCGTTTGCTGGACATGGGGCAGCGTGTTCAACCTTCACAGAGAAAAAACCGGACGGACTCCGCAGTCCCCCCCCCCAGCCCCATTCCAAAAAACGCTCTTGACGGGGCCGCTGCCGCATTTCCTCCTCCTCCTCCTCCTCCTCCTCTTCCTCCTCCTCCTTTCTTTCTTTCTTTCGGCGCAACTCAGATCCAATCTAGGATAGCCTTCCAAATAAAAACTGCACTATGTTCCGGACGAGCGTCGTCCAAAATAGTTCGAATGCCGTGGCACAACTCTGCAACGCAATAAGCTCCGCCGTGAAAGAGAATATTGGGCTGGCCATGCATATACCCTTCAGGCCCAAGAGAATGACCTCAACCCCATGCCCTGTATTCACATGTGCTTCCAAGACCCAGGCCCCAGCAAAACACTACGATGCGCGAGTGCCACCATCACAATACATTACACAGTTGGCCTGGATCAGGTTCAAAGTGAAATCGCTTGGAGGGTCTACTTCTTCCCACGAGCTCTGCGCATCCATGGTAACATTGACCAGGTGATCTGCGATCTGTTTACAGTCCCTCTTCTGCCAGAGTACCAGATCTCCGTGGGAACGACGGGGTTGCATGCTTTTCAAAATCACATTCGCTAAGCTGCGCGTCGATCTTCTGAGCGACGGTTGCAAGAAAATGAATGCGAGCGGACACGCGCCCGCAGCAACATCCACCAACGGCATGCAATCACAAACAACACAGAACGGTTATCCGGAATGTTCTGCAATATATGCGTGCCCTCCTCGCAGCGTTGGGCGCGCCATCCAGCGCCCGCAGACGGAGCCACTTGAGGAAACCCGCACTTGGCGCACGCGTCGGCCGCGAACGCGCCAAACATTCCCATCCACTCAGCTTGCGATGAACACCCATCCCGCCAACTCCGCCAGTCCTCCCCTCGCATGTCACAAAACAACATATTCCCAATGAGTATACATGCCAGGAAATGCGTGCAATGAGTGGGCTCTTTGTCGCTGTTTGTAATCGTGTCCACTGCCGCGGTATTTGAAGGCCTCTCACAAGAGACGGTTAGGAAACAGGCGTGAATAACGCATGAAATTGGAAGCACCCTGTAAAGGATAGGTAATCTCTCGTCACGCATGTGTGCACACAGCGCGTAAAACTATGATGTGCAATGGTGTCATGTTGAACTGCTCGAAATATTGTGCAGTCATCACATATGTTTTCTGGTTGTACAACTTCAATATATCCGACGGTTTCCGGCGCCATCTGAAAATCTTCCGGACACGACCCCTCTCCCAACGAACCAGTCTGGTCAAGATCGCCTGGGAAATATGCCGAGACCCACGCCCGAAGCAAGCCGACGTTGAATAACCCCTACTCCACGCTTGTAGTTTGCTTCGGGCTGAGCCTGGGCCGCGAAGAACACCATAGCGAGGCTGGTAATCTACACGGCCTGGGCCCCATAGGCGTGCTGCGTCCCCGGCGTGAGAAAACTTGGTCCAGAGTGCGCCCATGACCTCCACGCGCGCAAGCACGACGTCCGACGGAGCCTGGACATCCAAGCTCTGAGCATGCTGATTCCGCAATGTCCTACAAAACATGAACTGTAATGAAGGAAGCTTCCATTCGGAACCAAAAGCGTGAACTGCAGCAGTCAAATATTGCACCATGGCCTTGGACTCATCAACGCTTTTGGCCAAAAGGAAGATGTTGGCCGCCCAAATCAAATACCTCAGGAATGCACCGAAATCAAAAGAGAACCCGAAGCCTTGCGACTGCCATTTGGCTACCACGGGTTCCATAATACAACCGACCAGCAAATTGAACATCTCGGGAGTCTCGACCTCGCCCTGCTTGCCACCAATCAGGACGTCGAACAAATCAGAAGCCTCGGCCTTTCATGGAAGAGAGCTCGCGCAGAAGTGCAAGAATCAGATTAGGGTGGGCACCCCTGGTCAAAAGAGCCCGGGAAATCTCCTGATGCGTTCTTCTCGAAAGTCGCCTTGGTATCCGCGGCGCCTATCACAATACCTATACCCCAATGGTGCGAAAATTAGCCCAGTGCGACCCTACCTAGGAGTTAGAGCCCCAGGAAAGCAACATTAGCAGCAGCAGTAGTGAATGCTGTGATGTGCTATACTATGCTATGCTACGCTATGCTGCGCTATGCTATGCTATGCTAGGCTATGCTATGATATGCTATGCCGCGCTATGTTATGCTATGATATACTATGCTATGTTATGCTGCGCTATGCTAGGCTATGATATACTATGTTATGATGTGCTATGTTATGCTATGCTATGCTGCGCTGTGCGATGCTAAGCAATGTTATGATATGATATGATATGCTATACTGCGCTATGCTATGCTATGCTGTGCTATGCTTTGCTGTGCTGTGCTATGCGTGGCTGTGCTATGTTATGCTATGATGTGTTAATGCTGCGCTGCGCTATGCCGCGCTAAGCTCAGCTAAGGTCAACTAAGCTATGCTAAGCTAAGCTAAGCTAGGCTAGGCTAGGCTAAACTAAGCTAAGCCAAGCCAAGCCAAGCTAAGCTAAGCTAAGATGAGATACGTTAAGCTAAGCTAAGCTAAACCAAGTTAGGCTAGGCAAAGCTAAACTTTAGCTGAGCTAAGCTAAGCTGATATAAGCTAACATACGCCAAGCTAAGCCAAGCTAGTCTAAGCTTGGCTAAGCTTAGCTAAGCTGGGTGAACCCAAGGGGCGCGACTGGGGGAACCGCGGGGCGGGGACTGGGGGAACCGCCCGGGGCGCTTTCCACTGCCCGGCCCCTTTAAGCTAGAGAGTAAGAACCCTTCTAGGCAGAGCCTAGGTAAGGAAAAACACGGTTTGCATCACAATGGAAATCAAATCTTCGCAGTTGCGCCCAGGCCGGAAACCAAGCATGGCGACATTGCTGGACCTCCGCACCTGCACTACCACATTGCGTCAACTTCGTATGTTCCGTTTTGCCATACAGTCCTGTTTGCTTACATATCGAAATTCACCAAAATCGCATGATTTCGACACCTTCGGGGAAGCACGGGAATCGATTTGGAACCATGTAGGTGGCTCTTCCGATCGGCGGGACAAATACCGTTCCTGGAAAAGCTCTCCCAAATCAGATGGTTTCGGCACCTTCGGGACAGCACGGAAATCAATTTGGAACCATGTAGGTGGGTCATCCGATCGGTGGGACAATACCGTTCCTGGAAATGCTCCCAAAATCCGAACAACGAATGGAAATGGAAGTGCGCGATATACCTCGGGAGGGACGCCGTCGACGCCTGCAGCGGTACCACTCCGAAACCCAGCACGACCAGACACAACTTCATATAAATGTAACTCTGGCGATCGACAGCCATCCATGACTAGATTCTTCGAGATACGATGTAGTAAATCCAAACGCTGCTGCTGCACCAGAGGTGAATTAGAGCAATATGTAAACCTATCGCGCCCGTGACTGTACGTTGCTGTTTTCCATCGCTCCTGGTCGTCCGTCAATGTGTCACCAATTTTGAGGTGTGCAAGTAAACGTGTATCCCATATGTCAAGGCTCACTGTTTGTAGCTTCCGTTCGTTCCTGCATCGTTTCATTTGTTTGCGTCTTCGTCGCATGTTTCTACAGCATCTATCCTGGATTCCCCACCGGAATTGGCAACGAATATGCGGTGTTCTCGGAATGCCGCTGTTTCCGAAGATCTGGCACGCCTCGCCCGCAAAGCGGTGGTGTCAAACTCCACCTGCCGAGCCATGTTCAAAATGCTGTTCTGCGTTGCCGGCAATGTCATGCCAATAGATTCCATCACCTTCTCCCGGGATGCGTCCAATTCCTCCGACGAGGTCAGTCTCCAACCTAACAGACTCGTGGAGCAAGACGTGGTAAATCGACTTGACGCCGGCAGAGCGTACATTCCAACAACAAGTCGGTGATCAGACCTCTTGAACAGTTTCCCTGGGGATTTGTGAACGAAAGCGTATCCATCAAACCAAAAGATGAACATAAAGAATCGAATTGCCGCTTGGTATCAGGTCGTTGTTTTCTGCATCCGAGTTCAAAGCAATTTCCCCGAAATACTGCCAGACATTCCGACCCTGGTGTTCGGAAACGCGTTGTCGGCAGTCACCCCGAGAGCAACAAACCATGAAGCAACAGCACGTAAAAGTGGAAGACCCGGACTTGGCGTATCTGTAAAGACGGCCTCCCCGCAGACTTCCTCAAAGTATTGAGTCAACTGCACGTTCGAATCTGTACCCAACCGCCAGTCGATACTTCATTGTGGGACTCGCGATTCTAATCCTGTCCACATAAGAAACAGTTTCTCAAAACAACTCTTCTGCACGCCCGTTCTCTTCGAGATGATCGAGCGAAATAATAATTGTGTCATGCACGACAATCCCACACAAGTAAGCACCATACGAAAAATCCCTGCTCACCCGCAGCCAGGATCTAGGCATGATAAAGGCGCAGTCACAAGTCGTAGGCGACCTGATAGTATGGGAATGATGAGTAAAACCGTCCAGTCTACCCCACGCCGGAACCTCTTCCTCCTCCCCTCTAGGCATGATAAAGGCGCAGTCACAAGTCGTAGGCGACCTGATAGTATGGGAATGATGAGTAAAACCGTCCAGTCTACCCCACGCCGGAACCTCTTCCTCCTCCCCCTCCTCCTCCTCCTCCTCCCCCTCCTCCTCCCCCTCCTCCTCCTCCTCCTCCTCCTCCTCCTCCTCCTCCCCCTCCTCCTCTTCCTCCTCCTCCTCCTCCTCCTCCTCCTTCGAGGCAACCTTCTGGGTGGGGGCAGGGCGCCGCTGCGAGAGATGATGTGGCCCCGCGGCAAAAGGTACTCCCGCGCCGTGTCTCTCCTAGCTGCGACCCGGATGCGTTACCCGAATCGCCCGCTCCCTTTCGTCAAGCTGTTCTTCAGGAGAGTGGTTCGAACAGTGGCTTGTCCGCAGATCGATTCTTCCGTCGAGTCTGCGAGCACACGTGCGTCGGGTGCTCCATGGACCTACGGAGCCAGTCTGCGCATTGCCATCAGACTCGACGGAAAATAAATTCGGAGGTAGATCTACTCTGTGAACGATCCCGACTCGAGAGGCAAGGGGGGGCTCACTCAAAGGGGGGACCACCGAGCTTGAATTGGCGGCACATCGCTGGTAGATGAGCGATGTGCCCCCGATGAGCAAATCCGCACGTTCCTGGGCGGGGTGGGCTATCGGGCCCCCATCGGCGATGAGTGGGCGTTTGGGGCCCGATGCGCCACCCTCCTGCGCCTACCCCTCGCTATCATTGCCCTTGGCTGGAGGCTCTTTTCCCCGGGCGGGGGCTCTTCTACATGTTCGTCGGATCTCGGTGGCGTTCCAAGTGCCTTCCAGCAGCTGCGCCTCGCCGACAGCACTCCAGGGATGCCCCGATCCTCCCGAAAGGCCGCCAAAGGCCCGAGGTATGACACGAAAGGGAGACACGCTCGCGTCCCAGACCCCCGCGTCGTGATCTTTGTTTGGCGCTCCAGAGGCCTGGCGACGGCCTCCAGCCTGAAAAGGCCGAGGTGAAGACGCGATACAATGCGCACGGACAGGACAGGAGAATTGCACTGTACGGAGACGCAGAAAAACTGGGCGTTTCACGACTGTGAAGCAGAACAGCAGAGCACGACTGTCTCACACAGTCAAAAAAGAGCGACCTACAAGCGTGATGCCATACCCGATCACCAGGTAGTGGTAATCTGGGTTCTGAACACAAAGTTAACCTATTCATGTTTCAAGAACCCTTCGGTCCAGACCTCCAGCCTAATTTCATCAGAATCACTCGTCTGCGTCCGCGAAATCTGCCAGTGTAAAAGCAGCGACACATTGCTTGTCTGCGACACACTGGAACAAACCACAATCGTACGCAACAGATATACGGACTTTTGCATACAATATCTTCTCCCGCTCGTGTTTGGGGCTTCCAACTTTTCTTGCAAACGAATCGGTGTTCGGTTTTATGCTACCGGGCTGGAACATATTTTGGGGAGCGCCACAGTTTACCACACCACATAAGCCTATACTCAAGTACTTGTACAGTGTACGGTGCAAACCCAGCCTGCTGTAACACACTTTTGCTGGACAGGCAGAAATCATATATCTATATATGCGTATATATATATATATATATATATATATATATATATATGTGCTGGCTTGGTCTGGGGGGTCAGCTCCTCCGGAGGACCACAGAACGTGTCACGACGGCCGAGCAAAGGGGGGTCGGCAACTCCGTCTTGACGGACCCCTGTTTTCCTGTCAACTCGGCTGCCTTGCGACGTCCGCAAACGGCGACGGCCAAGCACGGCCCGCACGCAAAAGTAAGGAAGCGGAGGAGGGGTGGGAAGAGGATAGGAAGGCGGGGTAGCAAATGAAGGAGGAGGAAGAGGAGGAGCAAATGAAGGAGGCAGAGGAGGAGGAGGAGGAGGAGGAGGAGGAGGAGGAGGAGGAGCAAATGAAGGATAATAAGCAAACCACTGAGGAGGCGGAGGGGGAGGAGGGGGAGGATAGGTGGGAGAGTTGATTCGTCTGTCAGCAAAAACGGTCGGCCCTGTAAGAGTTTACAGAGAGGGAGTGCCGTTGCCGATGAGGGAAGAAGGGAGTGGAGGAGGGGAGTGTTGGAAAGAAAGGAGGAGGACGAGGAAGGGAATGAGGAGAATGATAATGAGCAGCAGCACGGACAATTTGAACCAATAGCCAGGCCGAACGTATGCGATGTATGAGTGTACGTATATTGTTCGGCATACGTGTCAAGAAACGTGGTGCTGGATTGCAATGTACTTGATGCTGGACGTACCCGCAAAATCAGACTAGTACATTTCTGATCCGATGAAGTGGCGGGAAAATGGCATGACCTGACGTGCGGGTTAGACACAGGTGGAGGGTAATTTGCACATGTAGGTTAACGTAGTAGTCGCGAGGCCAAAATCAGACAATCACAAGCAACATATGTTTCTTTCCACGAAACCCTGTGTCAGAACAGGCGTTGCTTCGAGCTCGATCCGCGCTGGAGGTCTGCGCGGTCGAGCTCTGCACTCGAAACCCCGACCACGGGCATTGCACCGCATAGCTAGACACAGCCAGAGCAACTCACGCCAGGAAGCCCTCAGCGATCGCAAGCGCCAAGCGCGTGCATCACCAGTGCACCGTTTTATGGTCCATGTGTTTCTTTGCGCGCTGGGAGTGCGTTGACGGCCCTCACGCATGTGCATGCGCGCTCGTGCTCATCGCCTCCGAACGTTCGTAGGATCAGGCGCGCTTCGCGCGCTTGAAACCCTTAGGTTCTGGCGCGGTCGGGGCCTTCGTCGGGCCCGACTCGCTGCCGCTGGCCGAGGTCGCCAAACATGCTTCGGGCCAGGAGTCTCGAGGGCAGTCCTTGCCGACGAGGCCTACTTTGCAGGCGTCTTGGGCACGCCTGAGGTCGACGCGGCAGAAGCGCCCTGGCCGCCAGCCACCGCGAGCGGAACTGAGAGGCCCACCGCGTGACCCTGCAAATCTTTGAACTGCTGCCAAAAAGACGGCGGCAATAACTGGTGGTCCGCGAGCCAGCTGTCCTGGAAGCTCTTTGTATTGTCTGACCCCTGGGCGATCCTTGTAGTTCACCAACAACTCCACCCGCTGGATCACGACGGACGCCTCCGTTGCCAATCTCATCTTCTCGCGAGCAACTGCCGCGGCCTCGGTCGTGGTGGCGTTATCCTGGAGGCGGCGGCTCGCGCGCAGCCGAGGCGCGGAACCGCTGAAGTCCTTCAGGCATCCGTGCAACACGCTGTGCTGGGCGACCAGACGCTACAACTTGTTGCCATTCAAGAGAATTGCTCTTGAGGTGGTTTCGCTGTGCTCTCCATATGTGAAGCACGCTTTCCAGGCCCGCGCGACCGTGGACGTCGTTTCCTTCTACTTGATCAAGATGCTCTACTTGATCCAGATGGCTTGCATGCCTTTCAACATCGCTGTAAGGCACCGCTTCGCTAAGAAGCCCGCAGAGTGGCACCGCTGACGCATTGCGGCGATCGGCCCTTGAGCTGCCAGCCCGTCTTCGCGAACTGCACGGCTCCAGGGTCACTCGCGGGGCCGCCCTGCTTCTTCGCCGTCTCCTGGGGCGCATCTACGATGTATTTGGCATCCTCGCAAATGAAGGCATCGTTGAAATTATTGCCCCCGTTGCAACTTACCTTGATCATCTGCGCGTCGGCGGATTGCGTCGCCGCCGCGGCGTCGGAGACAGCGCGCTTGAGCTCAAGTTCGAAAGCGGAGTATGTCCACGTGCGCGAGGAGGGCCCGTTTCGCCGAGTTCCCACGGTGCCCAGGCGCCTTGTTGCGCGAGGGAGAAAGTGCATGATGTCGGCGTCACCGCGGCCCTGTTTGAAGTTGACCGGCGCGCGATCCACGTCAGCGACGGAATCGGCCTCTGGGATCAGGTGGGAGTACGCAGCGGCGCCATCGCAGCTCTGGATGACACCTGGGCCCACGACTCCCAAGCACACCTCGGTGTCAGAAAGAAATCAGGGTCATATTATCATTCAAAAAACGCCGCGGTCTTGCAGTCGCGCATGCGCGTGCCGATGCGATCGCAGAAAGTTCCGAAGATCTCCGCCGCGTCCTCGCCGACGCAGGGGGCCGAAATAACAGAAGGTACATGTGAGGCAAACTTACTGACAAGCGCGCACTCGCGATGGATCCTGGTGAAGTCGCACAGCGTCTGCTCGCCGGCCCTCGGGGGGCGATTCGCAACGCTCGCGCCACCCAGCCGCCAGTCTTGATCGGCCAACGCGCGGAGGCTCTGCAGGGGCAGGAACATCTCGTCAATGACTGACACGTTGTGGCTGAAGATCTCCAATGCCACCTCGCCCGTCGCATCCTTGTCGACAAGATCGCGCCTCGCGTTGCCCGCTCTATTGGCTGCGATCTTGTAGAACTTCAAGGTGTCCAACCCAACCCACGGCGCGATCTCTTCGAGCGCCTTCAACCGCGGCCT